AGGAGAAATTAAATAATGACCAAGTGTCCAAAGTGTCAACTGTCCTGCAATGATAATGACTCCGCAGCCCACAGTCTGACCCCGAGCTCCTGGCAACAGGCAACAAGTCGGACCATCGAAAGCAAAAGTCCAGATTGAAATGTTCGTTTTCACATCTCCCAGTGAAAAAGTGTCTGCGTCGAACGTCACGTGACATGAAGCTTTCAAAAATGCTTTGTGACTGCAAAAAAAAAAAAAAAAAAAAAAAAAAAAAAAGGACAGGTGTCCACATTATCCGTCCCCCAATCTGTTGGAGACGGTTCACGGCAACAGGAGCTCGACCCAACCTGGGGGAGGGGTTGGGAGGGGGGGCCACTGTGATGGGGGCTGGTGAAGCTTTGGAAAACATCATGTAAAGAGCGTTGCTAAAATGGCTGCGACATAACGTGATACACGCCAAGCATGAGAAACAAGAACCAGAAAACCCCCTCCAAAAATAAAACACGGCTCTACGCCAACCTGTGGCCCAGTGTGTGTCACATTTACCTTCAATGCTTCCTGCTTGTGGCCGATGTACTGCTTTTAATGATTCACAACTGTTAAACACATTTTATTGTGGTTCATCATTTAATACATTCCACACAATGAACATTAATCTTCATGTCAATATAATCTCTCACCTCCCCAACATTGGCAAAAGGGGCTTTTTCAAATCTGCAAAATACCAACATTATAAAACAATTATTTAATTATTATTATTATTATAAATTTTCTAAATTACACCATGCCCACATTTGGTTTTCCCTTTAAAATACAGTAAGTTTAACAATAAGTGTTAGTTATGTTGAATTGTAGAAAGCATCACCCGCCCTCTCATCCACAACCGCACAAACAGTTTCTTGAGGAAGGAGATGGGGGGGTGTGTGTGTGTGTGTGTGTGTGTGTGTGTGTGTGATGTGTGTGTGTGTGTGTGTGTGTGTGTGTGTGTGTGTGTGCCGCAAACATGCCCAGTGTCCACAAGTCTTATCCGTCCTCGCCTCACGAAAGCGTCAAAGGTTTAAAAACAGTGTGCGGTGGCGGGGGATCCTTGCTTGGGTGTCAGCGGCGGTGCCATGAGTCACACCGGAGGGGGTGAGAGCAGAGAGGTGGGGGAGGGGGCAGGTGTAGGTGAGTAAGGGGGTGATCCTAAGTCTGTTTCACCAGCGAGTCCCATGGTTCATATCCTCCCTCCCCTCCCCCCCTCCAACAGAGAGGTGTGTGCGCGGTTCGTCCGGCCGTCCTCGCTCCGGACAGCGGCGCCACCTCAGGCCTCCTCCTGCTCGGGGAAATTGAGGATCTTGCGGTGGGCTTGCCTCATGTACTGCTGCTGTTTGAAGTACACCTTAAACGCCCCCTTGATGGCCACAAAAGCGATGCCTCCCTGTAGGAAGAGGAAGAGAGCGTGTTGAAAGAGGGCTTAAAGACAGAATCAGCTCGACACATCAAAGCTTTCCCCCGCTCACGGATTATCTTCTTTCATTTCCACGCCGGCTGTCACACGTATGACGCCACCCAACATCCCATAAACACATCAGCAGACGCCAGGAATATTCGAAACCCTCTACAATAGCTCATTGTACTCGCCGGCTGCGTGGGGTCAAACGTTCAGGAGCAGGTTGAGTTTAAATGAAGACGTTGAAACGCAAACTCTGAATAAACACGTTGAACTGTTAGAGAATACTTCGTTCACCGTTTCAGAGCAGTGGTACGACTCGTCTGAACGGTAAACGTGAAGCTACAGCGAGCGGCTTAGTAAGCTTAGCGCAGAGACTGCAAACAGCTAGCTGTCTGAAGGTAACAGAACACACACCTCCTATCATCAGGTTCTATTTCTCTGTTGTTGAATCTCCTCACCGTCATGTCATTTCGTTTGTTTAATTGGTACACAAAGCCAAGTATAAAAACAACAATGTGTGTAATCATTTCTAATATGACACGCAGCAAAGGGCCACAGGCCAGAACTGAACGCGGGCCCTAATGTATTGGTGTGAGAATTCTCTGTAGCATTATGATAGTTTAATCTAATCTGTGCACTTTAGTAGAGGTTGTTTTTCTATTATCAATAGAGAACTGAACGAATAAATGTTCCTGGAAGGTTTTGGGCCTATAAATGTAACTCATGTGGAGAGGTGAAGCTCTGTGCTGCCTGTCTGTCTGTCTGCCGGAGCTCAGGGGTTGAGGACAGAGTGTTCAGTGGTATCGGTGCAGCCTGATCACATTCACACTCTGGTTTCCTCTCTGTCCACACCACCGGGTTTCTCTTCTGTACGAATGGATCATATTTTGCACAGTTAACACGAGCTAACCCGGATCCATTCATTCACTACTGGAGAGGCAGAACACATCTAGAGAATTATTTTGATTTTTGGAACTATAATCAATCATACAGACACACACACGGCGAGATGCAGCTCGAGTAGACCCGATACTGGGGCTACGGTCCTGACACTGCCATCATCGACCTGCTCCCTGTGGATCTTTGTGTTGGTATGAGGAGTTCTGCTTGTACCCACCAGGATGGTCCTCTGCAGGTTGGAGTTGACGCTGCTGAACATGAGCTTCCCCACGATGGTGGCGATGGTGGGGAAGACCAGGGCGCCGCACAGGATCCGCGTGGCCGACACGTGGTCTGCCAGGGGGCTGGCCTCTGCCGGGATCCGAGGAACTGGGCAGCCGATCCCTGCAGAGACGCACAGACAGCGGCAGGGAGCCAGTTGAAACACACGGGGTTGGACCCGAGAGCACAGCTGACGTAATGGTTTCTGCAGGTTTCAACTGCTTCAATTTCTGACTTTAAGACCATTATGAACACAATCTAAGACCCATTTCACGTCCATACTGGAAAAAAATCTATATTGGTTCCTGTCACTTTCGTTTTGCAGTCGATCAATACAAGTTTCTCCCAAAAACATTTAAAGGAGAGACTGAAAAATGCAACTTTATACGAGGAAGTTCTGCTTCATTAATCCAATCAATTGTTACGACCTGTCAGAATCATATTACAGACTGTATCACCCTGCAGACACTCTTTAATAAGCACAAAGATGCTCTAATTAATTCCCCATTTTGTCCAGCAGTGGAGGCTGTGCTCCGGCTGCAGTAACACTGCTGCATACAGCCCACACACACACACACACACACACACACCCACACCATTAGCACTGGTCTTACACACCACACCAGAGTGTGTCCCGACCTGGGAAGATGCTGTTGAGGATCTGCAGTTTGTTGGAGTACTTCCTCCACAGACGCAGGACGTAGTCCTCCCAGCGGATCATCTTGCCGAGGATCAGCATGACAGGGATGGTGGGCAGGCCGATGAGCAGGAACAGAGGGTCCGCCCTCTCCATAACGTCCAGGCCCTCCTTATGGCCCACCACCTGGAGAGCAGACGGGACGGTCAGAATGAAAAACCACAGCAGTCTTTTACTTACAAATGAGAAAGAATCAAAGGAAGGAGCGACACAGGAGCAGGTCTTTATCCAACCACATGCACTGATTCGCAGTCACAGACTGAAGGGTCCTACTATTAACCCCTCTGAGGGGGGACCACTGGTCATACCTGCATGACAGTGACAGCTCCGTAGGTGACGGCGGTCCAGTAGATGGAGCCCACCATGATGCCGGCAGCAGCGAAAGGGCCGGCCTTTGAGATAAGCCGGTCAGCCAGGTCCAGCACGTAAACCACGGGACCTGGTGGAGGACAGAGGCTCAGATTGAGACCAAACGCTACAACTCTTATTTTGAAGGTCTTACTACTGCTGGCTGTGAAGTGTCTTAAACATGAATTTCTGCTCATGGCCAGCAGGCGGCAGCGCCACTGGTTGCAAAAAAAAAAAAAAAAAAAAAAGAAGCACGATAGTATTGAGCCTTATGGAGAATGAGCGTTTCAGCCCATGTCTGCAACTAAAATGATATATTATTAATATCTAATGGACTGTTTTAATGCATTTCTAATCTCAGTGAACATCAGTGTAAACAGTTATGCAACTCCACACATGAACATCCCGTCACTGGCACACATTCAAACTCATTTGTGTTACGGTGTCTCTAAATGTCATTTGCATGAGAGTGAATACTCTCAAAGTCTCAGGATGAGCTGAAGAGACAACACTGAAGCCAAGTGTAAGACATATGAACAGAGTGTGTGTGCAGCAGGGGTCATGAGACTACTGCTGGTAAAGCAAACCGCTGGAACTGGACGAGCATCCAAACTCAACACATATTCCTTTCATTTATTTACAAAAAGAGGCGCATCAGCCGTCACTGCTTGCAGGTCCATAACCAGCACGGTGGACTAGAACCACAGACTTCCCCTTTCCACCAACAGGCTGAATTAACTGTAAAATAACAGTAACAGAACTGAAGACACAAGGAAGCTCGCCCTAAATAAACATCATGTGGTCAGGCAGTCAGTGCAGCAAGAAAAATGACAGCAATGCAGTCATGTGAAAGTTAAAGGAAAGCAGCTTTGGAGCCGGCCAGGTACGGGCCACACCTTACAGGGTATTGACAGACAGGGAGGAGCCTCTCTGGAAGCTTCCACCTAGATTAAAAATAACCGGGCTGGTCTCGACAACCATGTAATAAGGATTAATGTGAGGTCCAAACGTGCCTTCAGAGGAGCTACATCACTGTCTGACATCGAGAGCAGGACCTAAAAAAATAGAAAGAGGAAAATTCTCTGCTGTATCCTCCTCTCTGGCATTCCAGGCTGACTCGAGGGAAATCATGCAATATTTACAGGAAGGCAACCTGATTTCCTCACTCAGACAAACCCATCCACATCCTATTAATAACTAGCCCAGGAGTCAGTGGGAGGAGCGCGGGGTGGGGACGCTACCAGAGGGGCCGACTGTTGGTGTGCAGCTCTGTAAATACTGCAAAGATCCACAGCGCAGAGCAGCCAGGGTTTAAAGGCCCTGAGAACCTATTTCCTCAAACACCTTCTTATTATAATCAATGGTGCCCCACATATACACAGCATGTTCTGCCTGCAGTAGGAGCAGTGTGGGCTGATTCACACGAGAGCTTTCTGTAATTGACCGTTTGCTTCGTTACTTCTAAAAACACCTCAAGCTTTCTGATCTCAGAGCACACATGCAGTTTAAACTGATTCCACTAAGATCTTCATTTCTGAAACACAAACATCGAGTTCAGATAGTGATGGACAAAAACACACTTCTCATTTCGATTGTCCACTTTGCCGGCTGCAATGGCAACCGACAGCTCGCTGATGAAGCCAGCACTGGTTCCCTGAGCTAGCTGGTTCTACATGGTAGATTTGATAAGGAAACGTGTGAGCTCAGACTCGTGCTTCTTAGATTACACACTTGAGCAAGCGGTTGTATTTTCCAACAGTACGTTTGGTTTCTAATGTTACAAGATGTAAAGGCTTCAAACATGAGGATTAACCGGTGTGTTTGGCAAACCTAGTGCTGTCTTGGATGACCGGTTTGGCTCAGGTTGCTGCAGGATAAACTTCCTCAGATCTAAGAGCAGGACGGAGCTGCTGATTTTGAAGGGTTAAGGGTTTTCTGATAAGTGAAAAACAAACAATCTGACTGTATTCATTCAGTTTAGGGCAGAAAACCTTTTCCCAGCATACATCTGCTTATTATACAGAGAAGTGAAACAATCTTGCGCATTTATAAATGTGGTTCAAAGGTTATTTCAACAGGCTTTCTAACAATCATGCTTGTTTCTAAGAAGGGGGTGACATTTATAATCCCATTTTTTAAAAATAGCGATTTTGACACTTGTCTAGCTGAGAAACAAAGCTGTGAGCTGGTGTTGAGACAGTGCTGAGTCATTGGTCATTGTGAAAGCAGGACTTGGTTCAAGAACACTTTCCCCTCTGGCGTGTCAGCAGCAGATAATAAATGTATTCTCCTGTTCATTTACGCTACAAAGCCGGTGTACAGCGAGTAAAAAACACACAGACCTTGTAGCACAAAGCTTCCATCACTTAAAGTTAAGGACGACTGCGCTGTAGTCACTTACGGGCGGCTGGCATGGGAATACTGCCGAGCCGTCTCAGAGTTATTATTTAGGACGTGGGCAGATTTAATGCAAACACCTGAGCAGATATACTTTCATGAGCCTGCAGAGGAAACCAAAGCGGTGAGACCAAAGTGAGATATTTCTACCTACAACATTTATATTAGCCTCCGCATGATGTGTAAAAAGAGCAGCAGCTTTCAAAAATAATTCTGGGGCTCGGCGGTTATTTTGGGGTTATGGGTTTTTGCAGTTGGAACATAAGACAGACTTTATTAAGCTATTTGTACAGCCAGGCCACCGTGAGGCTGTTACCCAGAAGTACTTGCCACAAGTTGTGTACAATTCAGCCACTGTTAGCTGTACACTATTTCTGCAGCTGAGTACATTCACGCTGTAAAAGCTTTGGGTTTAGAGTTCAGTGCAGCATTTTAAGCAGCCCGTGGTAGAGGTGCTTCTCTGTAGACAGCGGTGCTCCTGGCCACTTGTGGAGGAAGAAACCCAAAGCAAGCAAGAAGCATTTGGCACTTTTAAAGCTGCTTTAACACGCGACGGAAATATCACACTTATTCCAAAAGTTATAAACACAGAAGCTCTCACTCTTCTCCTGCCAGGATCTTGATGCTTTCCAGAGCTCATTTTTACCGCACCTGCGTTCGCCGACCGGATTGATCTCCAATTGCTTGAGCACATTAATATGGCATATTTTGATGACGGGGTTGGAATCTCTTCCGCTTTCTCCCTGCCTAAGCATTACGCCATCGCGGCCGGAGGGAACTGGGTCGCCCTTAATGGCCGCTGGCAGGATGGAGAGCTGTACAATTCATTTCAGCCACTGGCAGCAGATTCCATAATTAAGATAATTAAAAAGAGGGGAGGAGGAAAGTGAAGGAGTGAGGGGAAAAGTGCAACTGCAATTCCTCAGTAGTGGGCACGCATGCTTGCACGCCGTTCCAGCTGGCTTGTTTACTCTCTCCAGGCAGAGTGTCAGTAAAGAAGGAGCAGCAAGGACACGCCGTCCTCAGAGTTATATTGCCAGCTAAATTAGCATGATGGGCTGGCTTTGGCTCTGCAGCAGGTGCTGGTGGGAGGAGCCCCAGAGCAGCATGAAGCTTCCCTACTCTCTGTGAGCTGCTTGCTTCCATATCTCTACAAGTCAGTGAAAACAATCAAAACCTGGGTTAATAGAAAAGGTGATCTGTGGCTTCAAGTCAACTCCCCATCTGATCCGGCGGCAGGCAGGGGTCCCACCCTGGGAGCCAAATATGAGTAATGCCTGTCAAGCCTCTAGAATGAGCTGGCCTCTGCAGCAACACTGAGAATATAACTACTGTGGCAACCTCCCAACCGTGCTCCATGTCTCTAACTGTCCACGGCTTTGCCTCGATCACCCAAATTGAAAGCTGTCATCGCAGTGTTGTCACCAAGCTGTGAAATTGCTATTATTCTGAGGGCTAATTAAAGCTGCTGCAAATACCACAGCTTGTGAAGCCAAGCCACTAAAATTATATTCAAAAAGGAAGAATATATATCTGAGCTTTGAAGTTTTAAATTAAATATAGTACGCATGGAGCAAGTCTGTACAACAAGCACATAAATATAAAAAAGGTAGCATTGTGTCTATATAACCATGATAAATAAAAAATGGGAAAGGAACACTGCAGCAATGATGCAGCAAAACAGACAACGCTGTACTCCTCCCGCTCACTTTGAAGTGCACTAATGCCCGGCGAATCCTGCAGCTAGAGACTGGAACTCCTCAGACGGCACAAACAAAATCTCAGCCAAGAGGACGAGAGATTTGCTCGTCTGTATTTATTAGTAATTATATTCATCAAGCATGAAACAAGATATACTAAAGCCCTTTAAGTGCCTGTGTTAACTCCTGAATGCAGATGGGGGATGATATGTTGTAAAATGTAAAAAATTACTACAATCAAGTAATGGAAATGTCACAATGTGGGAAACCCCAAGTCACAAACACAAATAGTTTGCAAATGCAGTTCGACCCAAGTCTGACATCACACAGTGCCAGAGATGCAAAAATGAGCAAATCAGCATGTGACGTTTGCATGTGGTGGTCTGCTAGAAAGGATAAGGTCTGAGGAACATCCTGTTCTTTAAAATCTAGAAGTGACACAGACCTGAGCTCTAATGGCGTGTGAATGTCATTTTTAAGTCACAGGGAAACACTGGAGGACAGCTGTGATTTCATGGATTCATCAGCAGAGCGGCGGCGTTACTCCACTCATCTCATCTCCGCTGCGTCGGCCTTTGATGAGCTGCACCGTCGCCTCCTCCTGTGACCCAATTTCACTCCCACTCCTCTCTCCTCTCTCCCAGACACATCCAGCATCTCTGCACGATCCCCTCGCCACCTCTGTCTGACACGAGCTAATGGGATTAGGAAAAAGACACTTTTCCCTGATAATGGCGAGCCCTCTCAGGTAAACCCGACAGGCTCTGTGCATATAACCAACCATTTCCACTTCCTGTCCGGATTGATTCAGCTGCTGGGGAAAAAATTAGCCTCTTGTGTTGAGAACATGGCAGCAAGAAATCACTCAACTTCAGTGGTCCTGGATTTTAGTACTTAAAAGGAACTCTCCCCTGGACCAAAGCAGTGTTTCCACCGTCTCATTGCATTGATTTTGAGGGGAATCCAACCCGGTGGCAGCCATTAAGAATAACTATATAGAAATCTTCTTGCTGATGGTCCTGTCTGTTAGTGTGTTATATGACACAGCAAATAGACAATTAGACGAAGTATTCAAACAGTGCTGGGTTAGACATTGAAATCAACAAACTTCAACCTGAAATCAGTTTACTCGCTTCCATCTATTAACCAAAAGCAGGATTGGGTAGCAAACGGTTAACTTTCTGCACCTGGGTCTAGATTCACAAAACATCCTGAGGCTGAAACTCGTAAAACTTAGGACTCCTGCGTACAAAGCATTTAACTCCTACGTCTGAGAGAAACTAGAGGTAATCCTAAATTAAATACACCTACTAACAGCTGCTGCAGCGTTTTGGAAGAATACAATTTTTTTAACTAACTTAAAGAACTTTTAAAAGCATTTTTTTGATGGTGAGGAAGTCCATAAGAATCAGCACTTAATACATGAAGTTTGCATCAGTGAACTGAACCAGAATTATAAATCAAACCAAAACTGTGTTCTTTAGACACCACTTTGTCTGACACTTAGGTGAACAATCATCAACGAGTGCAATATATGAAGTCATTGATGTATCTCGTAAAAGCTAAATGTAGAATTAAACCATCAGAACTTATTTTATCAACTAGAAAACAGACTGGTTACCTATCAACCAATCACTGTAGTCATTAGTAGGTTCATACGTGAAACATGTGAGTCATAGCAACTGTGTGAACTCTGCCCTCTTGCATTATCTCAAGTTCTCTCAGTCTCTTAATAAAAGTTGCTCTCTGCAGCATTAGGAACTTTTAGCACACTTAAAGAGAGATCAGACACACAGCTCCACTGTGCTCCCCACTTAAAGCCTTACTAAACAACACTTTCACATTTACAATGACAGATATCCTGATTCCCAGGGGAACCGTCTGAACCTTACTAAAGACTTCTCACTCTTAAAAATGCAAAACTGAGATTTCTCTCTAAAAGCCCGTTAGATGCACTTCCTCCGCCCACACATGCTCACAGTCATCTAAACTGAACGGAAACCAAAGAAAGTTACACACGACTCAAAGGTAACACAAGCCTCTAGTTGCTTATATTAAGTCCTCAATGAATGTGGTGGTGGCAGGAGCTGCTGTATCATTCTCCAAGGGCGCCATCACTCAGCAAATCAGCCACAGTAAAGAGGAAGTCTCCTTTCAAAATAAGCCACTGGCCCATCCATCACAATGCTCTATTGCTGTTGGCCAAGCCACTTGAGCATTTGAACACATGACAAAGGAACACAAACTTTGGAGTGGGTGTCAGGAGTTGATGAGCTTGAGGGTAAACATTTTACCTTCGGGGCCACAACTGCTCACTGGCTGTTATAAAAAGGAAAAAAAAAAGAAAAACATTGTGCCAAGAATAACTACCCGCAAAGACACAGTGAGAAAACACTGATGCAATGTGTCTAAATCACTACTTCAAAAGATACTGTGAGAAACAGAGACTCGATTCATAACGCGTCGCCAAGCCAGAACATGTGAGTGAGGTTAACAACAGCACAAACATGTTTGTTCATACCCTCTGAAAACAAAGTCAGATGAGTTCTCGGACTGAACTGGAACGGATTTAAATTCAATTTAGCCGGAGTTTGAATATTAACCTTAAAAATGCTTGAAATTTAAAAACAAAAAATACAGGATTAATGTGTTCAGTCTTTAAGTAAATCATCTTTGATTTGAGCTGTAATCTGTGAGGATTAATAACACCACACAAACCGCAGGAGGAAACAGGACATGAATATCCAGGGTATCCCTGACAGAGAGATTTGTTCTATAGCCTAAAGTAGACACTTCCTTTTACCATGTTGCTTGGCAACCAGTCAGGCATGGCTTCACCTCAATTTCCCTGAATCACTAGATATTTTTGTGCTTCCCTTTTTGCTATACCCTGATGAGTGAACTATTTTCGTTATTCATTATGATGATTGTGATTATTATTATACAACTATACAGTAAGGTCAATTAAGAAACGTAAGTAAATCCGATAAACCACATTTTATATTCAATATTCCTATTTTCAATTCAACCGTTTACTGCCGATAAACCTCTGCAAGAGAGTTTCAGCTCATCATTGAGAATGACAAAGATCCTCAGTGAAGCTAAATTCTATTAGTAAAGATTGTTAGTGAAAATTACCAAAAGATGCAGAGTGTTTCTTAATAAATCAGATGTATATTTCTACCAAAAACAAACTACCAACCCAGTTACACTAAATGTAAACCTCATTTTTCTCACATTAATTGAAGATTTGAACAACTCAACTGATGAAACTTGCAGACTCAATTTTCTACATCTCAAATAAATAAAGACAAATACATAAATTCAAGAAGCTTGTGAATTAATCCAATAAACTGTGCAATAAGCCTTTTTCACAGCGGACATTTTGACAGGTCATAGTAGGAGAAGCACAGGTGTTAACATTAACATCAGCCCTGTTCTATCCAAAGATCAAACCAAATTGATCAGATCATTTTTCAGCTCCACTCAAACCCTGTGTTCTTAGTTCTGAAACCTCTTTCTTTCTGACGACCTTGCTGGAACCCCGTCAACTCGTCATTAGCAGATTTTGTTTTATTTGAGAGTCAATAAATGTGATATTATAAATGACATTAATTATCGCTCAACACATTTAGACAATTAAATGTGCCATCAGGGCCTGTAGGACTGCTCGACTGGGTGTTATATTTCGCTGCATATAAGGGTAAAGTGATACAGCACTCAATGACAGTCCTAGTGGGCCCTGTCAGCCAATTAACACAACCTCACATACAAAAAGGGCCTGACAGACGCATTCACAAATACCCAGCAACAAGCCAAGTGCCAATAATGAGCTGTAAGAGAAAGACACACACACAGAGTTATTTACTGAGGAGGAAGAAGTGTATAAAGAAGCTGAACTAAACCTTCTTCTTATAGCACCAAAGTGACTGACAGCACAGCCTTGGACACTATAAATATACATGAACCTGTTTACCAGCCGGGCCAGGCCTCCTGCAGACTGACATTGTCTTAGGGCCAGCTACTGTCTCAAATTGCAACTTCTCTCTCTTTGAGGTTGAAATAGCAGTGGCCCAGTGGCTGATGGGTAACCCAGTGACAACTGTGCACCATGAACCTTGTGTGTGTCCAGTTTTTGACAACAAAAGACATAAAACTATAATTTTTGCTGTATCTAGAATATTTTTCTGTCGCTGCAAAACAGCATGAGGACAAGTCAGCCGCTGTCTGAGAGTTAAAAGGGATCTGACACAGAAACTAAAAGTGAGGAGGTTCTGGCCAAACAAGCATGGCTGTGTATGTTCACTAGATGAGTCATAACTGGTGTTTGGGAACAACTGAAGCCCTCGTCACTCTGACGTGTCAGGATAATTGCGGCAGCCGCTTCTCTAAACTGCTGCTGGTCAATCAGCCAGGAGCTGGGCCGTATAACAAGTGAGCGCCCTTCTGTTCTTCGTCAGGCTGAAAGGAAATATTTACCCAGATCACCACAGAACCTATGCTGGCTCCGGAGTAAATAAACATCCACTCAGGCAAGACAAACTGAATAGCTCTTATAGCTTTGGGTACAGTTACAGGCCAGCATCTCTTATGTTTGCCTCAAAGGAGGAGCTTTAGCAGGCTGTTTACATGGAAACATGCTCTGTAACGCCGCTTCAATGCTCGCAACTGGTGAGAAATGACATTTCGACAGTACAACAAATCAAATTCAGAATCTTCAGACTTTTGGCAGTTTCTGTCTCAGTGCCATATCAACCCAGGAGACAGGCAATCTCTTTCTTTTTTCTTTACACAAACATGTTAGAGAATACCAAGCTTCCATTAAAAACTATTGTACATATTGTCTTATATATTTTCTTAATAATAATATCCAATAGGAATTTGAGTATTTGTCCTGCGAGCACAGAAACTTTGCTCTGGTACCCTTCAACCCTCCTAGCTGATCAGTAATGATCTTGGCCTTGAAAGAAACCACAAAGCCAAGCTAGCACCTCTTCATGGCTGTCTTGTTATTTCTAAGCCTCCAGCTTATCTCCTCAGCCCTACTTTTATCCTTTGTGAGATACAACCCACCCAGTTTGGGAAAGACGATGAGGTATTCTGCGTTGCATTGTGGGCAGGCCACACGTGCCGTGCTGTTTCCCCGCTGCTTCTCGTCCACCCAGCGCTGCAGGCAGGTCTGGTGAACCCACTTGGTAGAGCCGCGGCAGCGACACGGACGCACCCACTCTGCAGTGCGATCGTCCTCGTCTGTGGCGAAGCACACCCAGCAGCTCCTAAAAACAAACACACACCCACAGGTGGGATGAAGACAATGAAACACACACACCCTGATAACTGGAAACTGGAATTGGTTGCAGATTTCGAAATGAAGCTGACATTTTTGGTATCTATGTTCGTTACATGATAGTTTTGCACTTATTTCCCTCAAATGTCAACAAATAACTACATAACAGTTATTACGGCTGATTAAAACCGATGTGAAGGGATTTCAGAAGAGACAAGGAGATTAGATGGAGCTTCTACACTTCTAAATCAAAGTGGTGTGATAAATACCTTTGGCTCTAGTAAAAGAAAACCCAAGCAGAGCTCCTGCCCACTGGCACAACACACTGGCAAAATCAAACAAATAAAATAAAAAATACTGCCTTTTAACACATGTGAGCCTGGATCCAGTGTGGATTCAGTTCAGCAGCCTCTCAACATTTCATACGTGCATTAAAGCAGAGTTTATCCATCCATCAGCGTACAGTGAAGACTTAGATACAGATATCTGTGATGTTAGAAACACAAACACTAGATCACATCCTCTAACAGCTACAACTAAACAGACCTACATTTAGTAGTGAGCCTTTTATTTTCCTTGTAATGTTGGCTAATATAGAGCTTAATGAAGTCAGTCCCTCTCTTTCACTATCCTGACAGATGTTTATAACAGGAGGTCTACCATGAACTTTTAATAAAATGCTGTATTTCAGCCAGAGTGGAAAATTAACTTTTCTGTCCGCCGGCCAGTGAACGTTCAAATTTTATCGTGCACTCAATAGATTACTATTGTCAGTTACTGAAGCAAATCTACCATCTTGCATATTCCACCAGCATTTGGCTGATGGCTGGTGCCAATTTTGTGTATATGTTGTCATTTGTTTTAAATTGAGGTACTGGTGTGTGAGCATCTGTTTGTGTGTGGTACACTGGAGGAGAGAGTGAAAGCGAGCAAGCAAGACTAATGTAATCTTTCATGTTCCCTTTGAGTGAAAAGCAGACCGTCAGCAAACACAAGGGCACTTCCAACATGAGTCAAAGGTTTGGGCTCATTTGTAATTCTTACTGAGAGAAGTGTTGGCGAGGCCCTTTTTCTGCATTTAGGGAACAACAACAGAGGTAGTGATCAAAGTCCACTGAATGACTCCACTGAACGGCACAGGTGGAACACACAATCACTCCAGGCCAGTGACTCTGCACCAAATCAGCCAAGATCAATACGTGATCTCTATAGGTAAACAAGCTGTTTGCTGTATGCCGACTGCTTGTCAAGCATTATCTGACAGCATGGCAGGAAGTGTTCAATACACACAAAACACGCCTCAAATTTCCGGGGAATCTGTATTTAACAGATAGCAATTTCTTTGTTAAATCAATACTTTTTTGACCAATATATATTTAAAAGAGGGCCAACATTTACTCTACTTGTGCGCCGTTTCTCTTGTTTTTTGCTAAATATGGCCACTTGCTTTGCCTCTAGTCTGAGCTACATTCTTCTGACATTACTGTTTGGATTAATCACATTGCTCCTCGAACCTAAATTCACCAGGGCATCCCTCTCTGTGTGTGTGTGT